TTCTGGAACGACCCAATAGACCTTTCCGCTTATAACCAAAATTTTGATCTAGGCAAGTCTAGACAAATATTTCATCACAGCTTGAAAGAGCATCACAAAATTAGTAATATTCCAAAGTTTCGTTGCGAAATGTTGTAAAATGAGGAAAATAGAGCCTTGCGAAGTTTGCAATTTTCAGTCATTTTGCATTACAAACGGGAAGTTGCAGCCCCAACACCCGAATCGGATGTCAATTTCCTGTTTGTAATACAAAATGACTGAAAAACGGCAAACTTTGCAAGGCTATATTATCCGCATTTTACAAGATTTTGCAACAAAACTTTGGAATACTACTAATTTTGTGATGCTCTTTCAAGCTGTGATGAAATTTTTATCTAGATCGAAATTTTAGTTATAAGGGGAAAGGTCCATTAAGAATTTGAAAAGGTCATTAGGCATAAATGAATAATTCAGATACTGTAGTTTAGCAAACTGTGGTTATTTGACCCATTAAGTTACACTGCACCCCAATTTTACTGTCTAATGCCAGACAATTTTATTCATCAAGGGGAGAGTGCTAGCGCTCATTGGGTTAAGCTGTCTTTTGTTTGCCAATATCCAGCAAACTACAGTACTATATATTATTATATTGGTTTTTTCCGCTGAAATCACTGACCTTAATCTTTTTATTTGAAGTTTGTAAAGAGCTTGGAGTAATTTTTCGTACCCAGTTTATGGCGTTAGTTTTGCACTAGCTGTATAAAGTATAACTTGTGTGTTTCAAAGTTGATATAACATTTAACAAATGTTTGTGCCATATCTGCACTGCTGTAATTGATATACTGTATAATATCATTCTCATGCATGGGCATTTCATAGTATAAAACAAATTTAAAAAAAAAAATGCCAATCTACCCTCTCTATTGCTTAAATTCTTGCAACAAGAAATAGGAAACTCACTAAGGTATTTTACTTTTTTGGCCTAATAGGAAAATGAGACAGCCTTCTAGAATTATATAGTATACAACAATCTTTGGTTTGATTTTTTCTAGCAATGATGTTAATTGGTATAGATGATGAGTTAGGTCCACAACTGTATAAGACAGATCCTGCTGGCTACTACTCTGGATTTAAAGCATGTGCTGTTGGTGTGAAACAAACTGAAGCGAACAGTTTCTTTGAAAAGAAAATGAAGAAGAAACCAAATTGGACTCAAGATGAAACTATTCAGGTGAACCTTGGCGTACCCAACTCATAAAATGATTTAGAACTGATACAACCATTTAAGCATATAACCTATTCTGTCGCATCGTGCCCCAATGCTTCCAAATGTATCAATTTATCCAGGGTTCGTACAAAACTTGAAAGCCCTTCAATATGGAAACAAAAATTTGAGGCCTTGAAAGTCCTTGAGTTTATAAAGAAGTGCTTCAAAGTCCTTAAATTGTTCTTGCTTTAGTGGATATTTTCTGAAATTGTTTCGTATTAGGAATTGGACATTTTGTTAATTGAGTTTGTTCATGTTTACATCCAAGGTCAAAGGTGTTTGAAATTTACTAAAGTTGCCGTTTGTCGAGTTTAACGTCACTTTTTACTGATTTCTAACGCCTTCTTTTCAGCCCTTTAGTCCTTGAATTTCCTGATATATGGCCTTGAAAAGTCCTTGAATATAACTCTTCCTGACCTGTACAAACCCTGTTTACTCTGTCTGACCTCAGGTGACTTTACTTGTCAAGGGGAGAGTCTCTCAATGGGTTGAATTAAGCTTATACTGTAATTCTTTCAAATATTTTATTTTAATTTTATAGATGGGTATAAGATGTCTGTCAACTGTTCTATCTATTGATTTCAAACCTTCAGAAGTTGAAGTTGGCATTGTCACAACAGATCTCCCTACATTTAGGTAAAATTATTCAAGGCTGAGACAGGCCACCTACATTGCATGTAGCATTTTCAATGTACACATGTATACTGTAACAGCTCATAATGTTGAAATCTGTATCTTTTTTAGATCTTTAAAAGAATCCGAAATCGATGCTCACCTTGTGGCTATTGCTGAAAAAGATTAGACTTTATGAACTATGCTATGCTACAGTAATTTGTTGTAAATGTGATGTAATGTCAACGTAATAGAAGAGACACCGTTTTTATGATCCCGTAGAGTCTTGGTAGCCAGGTTTTTTTTTCGGAGCTGCAGAAGTAGCGAGCCATGAGAGCGACGCTACCGCCATAGTCTATTAGAGGCTAACTCCAAATTCAAAATTTGCGCTTCGAAACGTAGTTGAACTATAAAAATTCTGGAGTTACAGTCAACTACAAAAAAATAATGCGAAGGCATTTGAGCTACAATCCAGGCCAACACTTTGTGGACAGTACAAAATCGTATCAATTTATATGATGTGTTTGGTAATATTACATGTATATTCTGTCAACCCCCACTCCTCCTGCTCAATGTTTCATCCTAATATGATACACGTGGAGTTGCAGAAACGATTTCAAATTGTTTTTTTTTGCGGGGGGGGGGCATGAATTATAGCATTAAATTGATCCTGAATGCATGTGAGGCTATTTGTCCACTACACATGATTTTGGCCTGGATTGTAGTGATCTAAACTTGACTATTACTCATTATGCAAGTGGGCGTACTTATCTAAGTCTGTCTGGACACTTGTTAACTCCAAATCTGCTATTCATCGATCATAAAAAAGTTGGCTGTGAAAAGAAAACTTTCAGAGTAAAAATAATTTAAAGCAAATCTCAGTTTATCGTCGGAGGAGGGGAAGTGGAAGATCTGCCCCCGAGCTTGCAGTCCCCACTCCCCAAGCTTGCTAGTTTTTATCGGCATACTGTAGCTCCACAAGTTCCTGGGGTTTTTTCTGTTCGCATGGTATATGCTTGTTATTGTTCACATATAAATGTTCTAAAATATTATTTAACTACGCGCAAAGCAGGATCATAAAACGGACTTTTCGAATAGAAGAAAATCGAGCTAGGATATTATTTCAATCTTCATTAAAACATGTCATGTTTATTAATAAATACACCAATCTCTTTATCGTATAGTTTATCTTCATTTGTCTTGCGGATTTTTGGGCAGGAAAGCCTTTCGGAATAATTATGCTTGTTTGGCTGTATTCTGTAGAAAACCTCCATCCAATTGAACGATGTCTTCTGAACAGCTGAGTATACTGACTCCTTTTCGGACAGGTTGGTAAAAGGGGCTATTAGCTTTTCTCACGCCGCCATTTTTGGGTGGTATTTCAGCTGAAGTCTGCGAGATAAGTCCACATAACAGCGACTTTTTATAATTTTTTGGACGAATTATGGTAAATTTGATTTGTAAATGGTTAGTTTATTTTGAAAAATTGCTTTTCACATTGTTTTAATTGTCTGCATTGGTTAACGAAAATTAGATGCCACCCAAAAATGGCGGATATTCGTCATCGTGAGAAAGGCTGATTCGATAGCCGTAATTCCCTTAGCCAAAATGCGGCTCTTAAAAACTACAGCTGCAAACTGTGGTAGTAAGGTACGCTGGAAATAGGTGTCCTTTATAGCCACAAACCGTGGCTATAAGATACAGTATGCACTGTATATATACAAACCGTGTAATGCCCAAAACAGGCGCACTTGTCTTCATAGATTTTAAAGCCTTTAAAATTATATAACATAAAGTATCAGTCTCCCGTTGCCATTGGCGGTTTTTGGCGGGAAAAATCTGAATCGTTCCAAGATGGCGACCATCACAGACGAAGAACTGCAAGAAGAATTTGGTGTATTTGGTGTAGAACTTGACGACCTGATAATTATTGAAGAATGTATGTTGTTATTTATTTAGTGCATGGTTTGTTTGCTTAAAGTGGAGTATTAAATACGTAGATCTTTAATGCCTTTCTAGAGATATATATTAAATTTATTCGAAATTTGTCTATAAAATGTCTGCTGATACTGATACTGTGATACAGACAACCAGTGATACATTGTATTTGTGCTTATTTAACCCATTAAGCTGCAGAGCTTCCCCATTGACGAGTAAAATCGTCTGGCAT